CTTGCCCAGGAGTGCTCGGCAAAAGCTGCTTTTGCTCCACGTGGGACGGGAATGTCCGTCCCAGCCAGATGTTCTGCTGATGCAAAGCCCGACGGCCCCGCTGGGCTCCGCTTCCAGCGGCTCAGGACGCCTGAGGGCTCTGCCGGTCACCGCAGTCTGACCCCTCGCCTCCGGAGCTGGTGTAATTCCCGGTCCTGGCGCGGCGCTGGATCGCTGCCCTCCCGAAGCACAGCGAATGCAGCAGTCACGCCAGGTCCCCCCGCGCTCCCCCCTCGCTGCCCTGCAGGAGGCAGCTCATTCCCCTCCAGAACATTCCACCCATCCCGACCCTCCGCAAGGGGTTTGCACGGAGCTGGAGCATCCCAGCCTTGGGAAAAAGCAACACTTCTGCCTGGTCATGCCAGAGGAGGCAGAGAGAGTTGGGAGACCCTTGGAAGGGGAAACTGTTGCTCTTCTTTTCACTTCCCTGGGAGTGCCGGAGCTGGAGCAGATTAGTGCAGATGTTAAATTAACAGTGACAGCAAACAGTCACTGTTTATATAGATATATAGATGTATATCTTTATATCTTTATATTTTTATTTTATTTTAATATACCATTTATATTTATATATTTAAATATATATAATCTGTATACTATATAAAATACTTGTATAAAAATAAGAGGGAATTAATATAATATGTATTATATATATGAATAAAAAAGAGGGGAAGGAGATATATCTAAATATCTATAATATATATGTATAAAATAAGAGAGAAAGAAAATATATATAATATCTATATCATATATATGCATTAAAAAAAAGAGGGAAAGAATCTTTGGACAGCACAGCTCCCCACTGAGCAGGACTCACAGTCTAGAAACGCCAGCAGAATTCGTAGCCCCAAAAAGCAGCACCAAAAAAATTGTTTGGGAAACAACAACAGCTTCCAAGGATGGGTTTGGATGGCAGCAAAGGCAGTCAAGGAGCAAAGGGACATCCCCTGCTCCCCTCCCTCAGCTCTGACAGCTCTGCCAGCACCGCAGAGAGCAGGAAATAAGGAGAAAATTTGGGATTAGAGGAGTCAGGGATGACCTGTGAGCAGCAATTCCCCCCCACTGATGGAGAGCGTGTGTGCTGAGGGGTTCAGAGAGAGCCGAGAGCTGAGGGAGATCCCAGCAGGGGCTTGGCCAGGAATTCACTGCAGGAACAGCCTTTGCCTGTTTGTTCCTTCTCCAGCAGCCCCCGGTGCTCACTGGAGTCACCGTCTGACAAAAGGTGGCTGGAATCTGTCAAAGGAATCTGTCATTCCTGACCCGACAACCTGGTTTAAATGCTAAAAAGATCCGGATTACACAGCATTCCTCCTGCAGAGCTGCATTTCTGCCCTGCAGGAGTACTGGAATAGAATCCCACCATGGTTTGGGTTGGAAGAGACAATTAAAGGTCACCCAGTCCCACACCCTGCCACGGGCAGGGACACCTTCCACCAGCCCAGGCTGCTCCAAACCCTGCCCAACCTGGCCTTGGAGGCTTCCAGGGATGAGGCAATGCAGTCCCATTTCCAGGGTGGAGGCATTTCCACATTCCAGCCATTCCTGCAGTGAGTGTTTATTCAGAGCACTCAGCAAACACTGATTTCATTTAGATCAAGGATCTCGAGGGAATTTTGTCCCCTGCAATCCCATTGCCTGCACAGAGACCATGATCCTGCAAGACAAACATTATAACAGGAGCACAGGGTGCCCAAGGAAACCATGGCTGCCCCATCCCTGGAAGAGTCCAAGGCCAGGCTGGACAGTTTATGGATAACTGATGGAGATGTGCTCCCAAACATCACCCTTTTTACCTCCTGTGGGCATGGAGGTCACAACATCACCTCTTCTAAGAATCACAGAATCCCAGTATGGGATGGGAAGAGACCTTAAAGCCCATCCAGTTCCACCCCCTGCCATGGGCAGGGACACCTTCCACCAGCCCAGGTTGCTCCAAGCCCCGTCCAACCTGGCCTTGGACACTTCCAGGGATGGGGCAGCCACAGCTTCTCTGGGCAACCTGTGCCAAGGCCTGCCCACCCTCCCAGGGAGGAATTTCTTCTTCAAATCTAATCTAAACCTGCCCTCTGTCAATTTGGAGACATTTCCCCTTGTCCTGTCACTCCAAGGCCTCATAAAAAATCCCTCTCTGGTTAATTGGGGAAAATATGGGTCTCTGCAGTGGGAAAGGGGCTGATGCAGTTTGAGGTGCAGATCCCACACATGGCTGGGGAAGCAGCCCAGGAATGAGCTGCTCTTCCCCTGTCCATGTCAGGACCATCCCAGCCCCCTTCAGCTGGACACAGACTGAAGCCCAGGCCCTGCGCTTCTGCCACATGGAGGGTTCATCTCCCTGCCAACCACTCTGGAAAAACAAACCACTGTGCAAAGAGCTGTGAGGGGCTGGGACAGAGTGTGCAGGATCCCGTTAATTGCTCCCAGCAGGATTCCATCAGCACCACGGGGCTGTGGAGGAAGTGTCCCTGCTGCACTTTAATTGCTGCTCCAGAACAGACAAAAGTGTCACAGAGGAAGCAAAGTCTAAGAAAAGAAGGATGAAAAAAATCAGTCTAAGTGACAGATCCCTCTTCCCAGGTCAGCAGCTGAGAGGGGTGCTCAGAGGACTGGGAGGTGTTCTCGGATCATCTGAGGGGCTGAACCCCCTTATTGCCAGACAGGGCTGGCCCCACAGATCTGAAAATGTGAGGGAATATAAACCTGAGATAAAATGAGGATATTTGTTCAAAGATACAAAAAAAGAAGGCCCCAGAGCTGCTGCAAGGGTTGGAGCCCCTCTGCTCTGGAACCAGGCTGGGACAACTGGGGGGGTTCCCCTGGAGAAGAGAAGGATCCAGGGAGACCTGAGAGCCCCTTGCAGGGCCTAAAGGGGCTCCAGGAGAGCTGGAGAGGGACTGGGGACAAGGGATGGAGGGACAGGACACAGGGAATGGCTCCCCACTGCCAGAGGGCAGGGAGAGATGGGATATTGGGAAGGAGTTGTTGGCTGTGAGGGTGGTGAAGCCTTGGCACAGGTTGCCCAGAGAAGCTTCCAACCCAAGCCATTCTGTGGATTTCTAAGATAGATGCCAAGAAAATAACCTGGAAAATCTGGACTGCCCCAAGTTTGGGGTTGGTCCAGGTGCAGTTCTAGGCCAAGTGACCTCCACACTCCTGCAATCACTGACACACTGAAGAAGAACACACCCCTGTCCCAGCAGCACATCCCAGCCCTCAGCTGGGGTCAGGAAAACTCCATCTCCCAGCTATCATCCAGCACAGATTCCTGGGTCCAACTTTCCCAAGTCCTGGGATATCTCCTGGTGGACAATGCAGAAGAGTGGCCAAGATGAGCATCTGCCCCTCGACACCTGGCTGTTGAATTCTGCAAATTCCAAGTTGGAACCAGCTTTCCTCAGCAAAACTTCCACAAATCCCTGTTGGTTTTGGCTCTCTTTCAGTGTTTTGGGAACACGTGTGCCCCTGCAGGTGAATTCCAGGGCTGGGATCCTTGGCCAGGATGTTTGGCCAGGAGGAACCACGTGTTCCAGGACCATCTGGGGGGAAATAAAAACCTGCTGAGGTCTGGATTTCTCACTGACCATTTCCAGAGCTGAGTGTGAGCACCAGGCAGGGCAGGCTGAGGTGACACGTCCATTGGGGAGTGAGACAGAACAAAGGGAAGGAAATTTTTATGGGCAATTAATGAGTATTTCCAAAGACAGGTCGTTAAAACTCACTCTCTTCTTTATTCAAAGTCCCTTGGCTGCCTCAAGATGCTCTAAATTACCTCATCATGCTAAATTAGGAGAATTAGAAAATGTGGACCAAGCTGTGCTGACACAGGACTGTGGGAATGGCCTGGACATCACCTGCTCTGCCCCTCCAAAGCAAAGAGATCTAAGAGTCCAAGTGTCCAAGGCAGGTTGGAGCAACCTGGGCTAGTGGAAGGTGTTCCTGCCCATGGCAGGGGGTGGGACTGGATGAGCTTTAAGGTCTCTCCCCACCCAAACCATTCTAAGGTTCTGTGATTAAGAGCAGAGGGATTGCAGCAGTGGGGAGCTGCAGGTTTGTAGTTTCCACCCAGCTTTTCCAGACCTCCCAGAGGGCATCAAGGTCATCAAGTATGAGGAATCTGCAGTAGCCACACCCAAGAAATTTGGGATTGTGCCCAGCTCGGTGACCTTAACAATTTCTTTCCCTTCCCTGTGCCTCATATGGGAATAATGTGATATAAAATGTGTGGGAAGCATTAGAAAATAAATACTATCTACAACCAGCTGGTCTGGGAGCTGAGATGCTTGAGAAGAACTGAGGAGATTTGAATTCATTCTGCAGCTAATTCCTCATGGGAATTTGGGAGCATCAGCTTATGCTCCCTGTGCTCAGCTCCTCAGAGCACAACCACAGCAGTGAGGTTCACAGATAAGGTGATTAAAGCAGTCTGAGGACTTGCAGACTTCATCCCATCACTCAAAGAATGTGGGGCAAGGAGACATCTCTGTAACTTCCTGGAAATATTTGCCAAAGCAAATCCAGCCTTCAAGGTCTGTCCTCTCCGATGGATGACATTTCCACTTTCCACTTCTAGTAATTTCAGTGCTGGAGCTGCTCAGTAAATCTCAAAATGAAGAAGAAAAAAAAGGGAAAAAAAAAAAAGAGGAAGAAAGAGGGGGAAAAAATCCAACTCTGTCCTCACAAAAGTTTTCAAGGAAAAAGAAAATTCCCCTTGACATTTTCTCCTTCTGTGTGAGGGTTAAAGTGTGGGATAAGGAATTTCAAATAGAAATAACTTAGAGCTGTTTTATATCTCTGCTACCAGATGTCTAAATTTGTTTAGACATTTGGTTTCCAAGGTCTTTGATTTTTAGAAATGTGGCTTTCCATGGGGTGGGGGCCACCCTGAGTCCAAACTCAGCTGGTGGAAAAGTGTCTTAGGGGATAAGGAAAGGAGAGAAAAAAAAAAAAAAAAAACAGGAGAGAAAAGAGAGATGGAAAACTCCCACAGGAGAAGCAAGGGGAGGTTTCACGGCACAGCCTGTCCCAGACTCCACTGCTTTATATAATGGATCCATATTTTTGTTCAGGGCTTCCCTTTGGATTGCTCTCATGGCTTAATGGCAAAGACATCTGGGCAGGGCAGATGTTGCATCAGTGGGTGATACACTCACATTGCTAAATTTTAGCTACTCACGGGTCCAGGGGTCCCTGAGTGCTCCTTGTCTAAAGTCCTACATGGAAAACTACACTGGGGTGTGGGGAGAGGAAGGGTGAGGGTAATTCATGCCCTGGTGGGAATTGCTTCCCATACCCCCCCCCCCCCCCAACTGCACTGTCACCCTCTGTGCCAGCCAGAGCATTTGGAATGCAAGGACAAAGGAATATTCCTGAATTCCTGAGGTGGGAATAGTGGAGGGTGGGAAACTGAAAGGCAGACAATGGGTAAACAGAGTCAGAGAATCCCAAAATTATTTGGGCTGAAAGGGACCTTAAAGCCCATCCAGTTCCACTCCCTGCCACGGGCAGGGACACCTTCCACCAGCCCAGGTTGCTCCAAGCCCCGTCCAACCTGGCCTTGGACACTTCCAGGGATGGGGCAGCCACAGCTTCTCTGCCGAACCTGTGCCAGGGCCTGCCCACCCTCACAGCCAACAATTCCTTCCCAATATCCCATCCATCCCTGCCCTCTGGCAGTGGGAAGCCATTCCCTGTGTCCTGTCCCTCCATCCCTTGTCCCCAGTCCCTCTCCAGCTCTCCTGGAGTCCCTTTAGGCCCTGCCAGGGGCTCTCAGGTCTCCCTGGATCCTTCTCTTCTCCAGGGGAACCCCCCCAGTTGTCCCAGCCTGGCTCCAGAGCAGAGGGGCTCCAGCCCTGGGAGCAGCTCTGGGGCCTCCTCGGGACTCTCTCCAGCATCTCCACATCCTTCTGCTGTTGGGCCCCAGAGCTCTGGAGATCCACCTCAGGGGGCAGAGTTAAAGCTGTACAACAGCTGTACAGCAGCTGGTCTGCTGTGCTTTGAGAGGATGCCATGAAAACCAGTGCCAGGCTGCCCAACAAAACATCTCTGGTTCTCAAGAGGGAACAAAATCCTGATGTGTCTGATCCCACCATAAAAACAGCCCCACACATGGGAACAATAACAAGGAACACCCCTTGTCCCAAGGCTTTCAAAGAGCAGGAAGGGCCGTGTTTCTGCCAGAGATATTTAGAAAAATAGGAACTTCAGGAGAAAATAAACTGAAACAATGCAAAACAAAACAAAAAAACCACCCCAACTTTCAAGACAAGTCACTGGTGAAACAGCCACATTTGGAGAATGTCTCTGCCAGATGTAGAGTGGGATCTCTCCCAGACCTGAACCCCCCCATGGGATCAGATCCTGAGGACATCTCTGCTGTCCCACCACCGAGCCTACCACATGTCCAAGGCACCTCCAGAGCCCATCTCAGCTCCCTCAGCATCCCCGGGTGTTCCCTTGTGGCCATCGCTGTTGGTGTGACAGCACCAGAGGTGATGGCAAGTCCTGATGGCATCAGGAATGGGGAAGGATGTGTGGGAAGGCTCTCTTGGAGACCCTTCTCTCCTCCTATCCATCCCCATCCTCTCCCACACCATCCCTGGAGCTCAGGTCCTGCAGTGGAGCTTGAACTCGCCCAAAGCCCGGTTTGGGGGGCAGGGGCTCAGCCTGGCTCCAACACACTTGTCCCACTGGGAGCAGCTTTGTCCTCCACCTTTTGGAGGTGGGCTGGGATCATCCATGTCCCACAGGTTTTCTGCAAAGGGAATTTCAGTTTAAGGAAGAGATACTCCTGGGGTCAGGACCTGGGGACCGAGTGTCCTCTCCACACTGAGGAGGCAGTGTGGAGAAGGTTTGTGTTGTGCCCCTGTGTGCTGGGAAAGCTTTCCTGCCCTGCTGAGCACAGCCAGACTCCTCGGACTCCCATGGAGCTCCAGAGCCTCCCGTCACATCCCAGCTTTCTGGCTGGGGCTGTTCCTGTGCTGCAGCCCAACCCATGGAGCCCAGACAGCCCAGACCCTTTGCAGGAGCACCTGAGCTCCCCCAGGGCGAGGTTTGGGGTTGGGTTCACCATGGTGGCTTGGTTTGGTCTACCCGGATGGCATCCCACAGGGACGCAGCTGTAACTGTCCCCTGCCTGTGTCCCAACCTGTCCCCAGGGCTGTGCAGCTCCAGCTCCTCACACACCTCTCTGCTTTCCTTCCCCAGCCCACAGTGACCCAGAGGAGCCGCAGCCAAGGCCCGAGACCAGGCAGGAGCCAGCTGATTCCAGCGGTGGGAATGCTGCTGCAACCTCCAGCCACGAGGAACCCATCCTGCCCCCAGCCACAGCCCAGACCCTCTCGGGCACAGACACTCAGGCAGAGGAGACAAACCCCAGCCCCACCAACTCCTTGCCGTGGCCAGAAGCCCCCGAGGAGTGCCCAGCCCGTGCCCCCCAGGAGTGCCCAGCCCGTGCCCCCGAGGAGTGCCCAGCACGCCCCAACACCCTGGAATTCTCCAAGTCGCTGAAGAAGCTGGAGGAGGTGAAGCAGGCGGGGCAGAGGCAGAACAGCGAGCAGGTGGTGGTGAAGGAGAACGGGGTGGAGGTCAGTCCTGCTGCTCTCCCAGTGCTCAGCGAGGAGAGGAGGGCCCTGGAGTCCGAGCTGGGCAAGTGCATCGAGGAATTCCGAAAGATCAAGATCCCTGTCGCCTTCCCCAACAAGAAGAGGCAGTGGCAGAGTGAGCTGCTGAAGAAATACCAGCTCTGAGTGCCCAGGGGAGGATGTCCCCTGCTGTGCTGAGTGTCTCCACCACTGTCCCCTGGAGAGCAGGTGGCAGAGGTTGTCCAAACGCTCTCAAAATGAGGAGTGTGGGTTGCTCATGGAGCCCATCCAGCCGTGGAAAGGGTCACAAGCCTGTACCCACCATGGGAGGGATGCACCACATCCCCAGGGGCATAGGCATAGCTGGAGGGGTGGAGGAAAAGAAAGGAGGTCCAGGGCCAGAGCTGCCATTCAGCACATTTCTGAGAGTGAATTTTCCCAGCGTTTAAACAATAAAATATAGTCGGCGTGAAAACAAATTCCAGTCTCTTCACGGCTTTGGCGCAGATGGTTTTGAACTTGGCTCTTCCAAACTGTACAAGTGGTTTGGACACCCAGTCTCCCTCGATTGTTTAACCCCTTGGGAGTGGAGGGGGAGACCAAATCTACATTATTCTTCCTTTTATATGCAGCCAGGCCAGTGAAGTGTTTACAGGAACATGGAGAGCCAGAGCAGTGGGAGATAACACCAGGGCAGAGCTGGCTGCCAGCAAAAGGCTCTGGAAAGACGGAGGAACCATGTCACCCTTGCCTAGGACCTTCAATTCCCAGGAGACATGGAGCTTATCAGAGTAGAAGTGTCACGAGAGGGGACAAGCCAGAGGCCTCAGATCTGGAGTCTGTCCACGGCTGCAGTGGAGGCACTTCAGTAGGAAGAGCTGCAGAAGACATTGCTGGTGCCAAAAACATCTGGCAAACAGCACCACAGCTGACCTGGCAACTGCAGGAGCCCTGGCTCAGCCTGCTTCCCTCAAGGCTCGTGTCATGGGGATCAGGGGATCACAGCTCCTCTCACTCAAGGACACGTTCCAGCCAGGCCCTCCCTGCCTGGATCAGCCTCCAAGGGGCACTTCTGCAGGGGCAGGATGGTTTTGGGGGAAGGAACAGGAGGTTTGTTTCAGGCAGAAGGCCTTGGATGTCCTCCTGAATCCTTTCTGGAGCTCCTTGGTGGTACCCACCATGCCTGAGGGCACTGCTCTGGTGGCAAACAATAAAGCTCAAAAGAACTTTCCCATCTGAGTTCTGCACTCAAAAGGCAAGTGAACAACTCAAACTGGGCATTGGCCAACACAGCACTTGGACAGGAGTTGTGGAGTAGTTTGTCATCCTCCTTGGATGGTCCTATGCTCTTCAGGAGCAGCAGGAACCCCTCCTTGGGCTGGAGGAGTTCAACCCCCCCCACCCAGTCCTGCCAGAGGTGCCTGAAATATTTATACCCATCACACACAGGGCTCATTCCACATCACAGAGGGTTTCCACAGCCAGGAACAGCTGGCAAAGTGACTCATTCCTGTTTATCCTTCAATATTTGCCCTTCTTTGCTCAAAACAAGGCTCTGTTCAGTTTGAGTCTGGGAATTTATTGTCATTTATCTTCATGTCCCAGGAAATTCATATTTCTGTCCTCGAAGTCAATAGGACACAATTTCCTCCCAGACTCTTTGATCCTTGACATCAGTGAGAGCAATTTCAGGTGCAGATGTGGGAGGGGCAGAGCCTGAGTCACCCTGAGCACAGGGTTTGGAAATCAGGTCTTGTTTTTGCCTCTGACCCACTGTGGGAAGCTGGACACATCAGGCTTGGGCATTTTCCTCCTTGCCAGAGATTCTTCTGAAGGTGTGGGAGCAGGGCCTGGCTGCTGCAAGGACTTCTTGCTGTGAACTTGGTCTTGGTGCTGGCCCAGGAGAGTCAGAGATCACCAGGACACGAGGGAATAAACACCTTCAGCTTCTCCCCTCGATTTATTTTCCACAAATACCTCAGCTTTTCTTGAGCAGCAGGAAGCCATTAATTACCCAGTGACAGTGTTCCACAAGCATCCCCTAATTGAATGCCATTATCCCTTAATTCATTAAATACCAATTAATTACCAGGAACATGCAGCAAATGCCATCAGCTACTTGAGACAGAATAATTTAAAACCTAGGGAAGGCTGGCCCAAATAATAATGACCAGGGATTGTCCAGCAAAGAGAACAACAAAGAGCTCAGTGTCATTTCCCTCCAGGCAGGTTGGGATGTGCTTGTGGGAAAAAAACCAACCCTTCCAACCCACAGCCCTCCAGGAAAGTTCTACTTTCCAAGCATGGCCTCAGCTGGTTTCTTCTGGCACCACCCATGGATTCCAGAATGTCCCAGTAGCTCCAGGCTCTTTCCACTTGTGCTGAGCCTGAGGAACTGAGGTATTTCACAGGCACAAGGTGAAAGCAGTGGTTGCCTCACCTCGCTACGTAGTGTTTGTACTCGGTGGGATTTTCATCCACAGGATAATGCACAATTTGGACTTTTCTTCCCAATCCGACAGTTTTATTCCCATGGAAGAGTAACACTGGATTCTCAGTGGTGAGATGTTTCTGCCCAGGGAACAGCCCTTCCCCAAAGCACCCTCTGAGCAGGGGGACACAGGGACAGGGGGTGAGACGCGGGATTTGCCACCTCCAGAGTGAAGCTTGGGGGTTCTGCTCCTTGTCCCAAACCACACGGGGCAGGAGCAGATCCAAACACCCAGCTGGGCATCCCAATTTGTAGGGTAAGACCCCCCCCAGCCACCATGGTCTGGGTCCTCTGCTCCCTTCAGGAACCCTGATTTTCTGAGCCCTGTGCAATGAAACTCCATTTCTCTTCTTTTTTTGGACATTTAGGGGCAAAACTTCCTCACAAACAGGGAAAATATTGCAGCCCCTCAGCTCATGGCAACAACGGGACAAAGGCAGAAGAGGTCCCTGAGGTCTCACAG